GAATTGAGAATATAGTATCAAGCTGTATACATTATTTTTAGTATTAAAACCCTAATTGATAATGAAAATTCCTGTTCTTAAGCCAGTTGGAATTCCAAGATGTAGGAGAACTTGGACATACAAAGAAGAGATGTTTTTATGGTTTGGAAATTGTTTTCTTCTAATGGAAAGATCTGATTTTTCCCTCCACTGTTGTAGGGTGAAGATGAATCTCTCATGCTTACCTGCAGGTATGCACTGAAATTGGTGAAAGGGGGAATGAGTTGCAGGTAATTAGAACAAGGGTGTGGGGAATTGCTTTACAGCACTTGCTAGGCCAATCTGACAGCTTTAGCAGCCCTTGTTTGTGATGAGCACTTCCATCTACCAGTGCTATAAAAAAATTATGAGTCATAATGGGTCCGTTGCATTGTATTAGCTGAAACTTGATCAAGTACTGGTAGATCAAACAAAGTGCAACTAATTGGGAGTGCTAGAAGATTGTTCATACTAACGTTAGTATTTCTTTATTTTTTCATGTGGTTTCCAAACAAGGGGTGAGTAAAAGGAATATACCAAATACCTTTGCATCCTTGAGCTGCAGGTTTGTCCGATGTTAGCTGATATATAGGGGAGAAAGCTGAAATAAATGACCATGTAGGGAAGCAAAATTTCACAGGAAATTTTATGGTTTTATATCTGCCAGTTCACTTTGAGGTTTGGTGTCTGCATGGGAGTGTGCCAGTGGCCAGAAAGTAGTGAGAGGAGCCAGTGAACAGCTGTGCCAAAGACTAGTTGTCCCTCCCCCAGAGACTCCAGCTGGTGTCAGAAGACAGGCACAGCGCAGGAGGGAGTACTATTGGCCGTTAAAAAGGGTACGGATGGAGTTCCAGTCATCGCAGGGGCTGCTGTAGGCCTTATAGGGTTCTTAATGAGTCCTGATTTCTGTGCGTCGCCAGGCATCACAGGAGGGACAGCACAGCCAGCTAGCACGCCTGCAAGGGGCTGTGGCCAGGCTGCTACGCAGGAGAAATGCAGGTTCACAGAGAATTTAAAAGGCTCTCCTAAAAACATGAGGATTCTGGCAGTACCTTACTGCACCTGTTTTCCATCCCAGCTCTTCCAGATATTGTGTGATAATCTGGAATACTCTTGTTTTCTCCTGAGGTTTTGTACTGACAGAACAGAAGAGCTTTTGTCAGGGAAGAGCGTTTCCCAGGTACAGCGCGCTGAAGTTCCTCAGATGCTGACTGGCTCCTAGTTGGAATTGGGTAAACATCAATAAACTTCATACGTTTTGGCAATATGACCTTTGAGAGGTAGCAGGGCCAGCAGTCTTCCTCCAGGATGAGACGGGGATCTGCCACAGCTGGAAGAAGGAAGGGTGGAATTGCTGGGTGCTTACAAATGCTGCATCTGGCACCTCATGCCCCAAGGCTGACAGATGGATCCTGTTTGTCCGTGAGTGTTTACTCCTTCCATACCATCCCAAGTGAGGCGGGCATGTACCTGCACATGCATTCAGCACACAAGGAGAAAACGATGGACAAATACCAAGATCCACTGTTTGTCTCCAAGAAAAACCTTGGCTTCATACGCATATGCGCCAGCTTTTCTACTTTGTGACTTAATCCTTTAATTTCACTTTAAAATCGAGTAATACTCATAAATCATTGTTAGCAGCAAGGCCAGAAATCTAAGGAGTATAAAGACAATCTCTGCATCTTTTTTTTCTTTAGCTTCCTTCACCACCTTAGCTCCAACAAGCATTATCATTTTCCCTTTTACTAAGAAAGTTTCTGACATTTAGATCTGGCTGTGTTTTGTGATAGACTGGGGTTATTGACAGTTATTCCCATAATCTCATTTGAAAAATAAGTTTCAGCAATTTACTCTCTTTTACCTGTAAAGTGGTGGATTTTGCGCATCTCCAGAGACATCTGTTTAAGTCAGTTGGCTCAAATGGCCAGTTCCTTTGTTTGCTATACAGATGGGGCTGCAGTAGAGGACTCGCATTCCCCTCCCACAGTGGTAAATTTAATAAATTCTGCTGGCCCCACTCTGGGCTTGGGCCTCTCATCACATGCGTAGGTGCAGCACCCCCGGATTGTCTGGCTTTCCAGTCGGCTGGTATTCCCAGAGGCTAGAAAATCCTGCCCTGGCAGGTGTGTCTGGAATCTGGGCTGCCAGTTCTCCATTGCTAGGTGGTTAAGCCATCACTTCTAAACTGAAAGAACTCACACCTTCAATACCTGTAATTTAATTTGACTGGGTTTTAATCCTAATAAAGATGTGAGCAGGTTATATATAATCTAATTATATCTATAAAGTCTTTTAGCTTTCTTTTTTCTTTTCAAACAAATAAGTGTGTGATGGTTTAGGGTTTTTTTTTTTTAAAGCAGGAGATCAGGTCAATGGTAACTTGTTTTTCATTGGGCTCTTGGGAATGTATGTGTGGGATAATGATAATTGGTTGAGGGTGATGAGTTAAAAAAAAATCACGTTCCCTCAGAAGTTAAATCTCTTTCATTTGCATTAAGACCCTGAAAATCCTAAGCAGGGCAGTGTAGGAGCTAGCGTGGATTTTAAAAAAAAAAATCAGTCTAATATAGTGAGTGGCAAAAGTGAAAACTAGCAGAAAAGAAACTGGGATCAGTGGTCCTACTGCACATGTAGGGAGGAGAAATCCTAACTGCTGGGTGGGCAGAAGCCAGGCGTCTGACTGTCAGCTTGCAAGCCTCCCCTTTGTGGAAGCGATGTTGCAGGACCGCTGTCTGCGGTGTGAATTGGGCGTGGGAATGCGCACAGCACCACGGCCATCGCTGCGGTCAGGTGTGCCCAGGCGTGTTAACAACTAGCGCTGGCGTTCACGGAGTTAAAGCAGTGCTTTAAAGGACCCGTACTTGATGGAGGGTTTTATTTTTCTGCCTTGAGTACCTGTCCCCAGCATTACTCTTTCAGTGAATCACTGGTTTGGCTGGAGGCACGTTGAGATGAAGACTGGAGCTTCCAAAGGCCCGCATCCCGTGCTCCTGCACGGGGGTGTCCGTTCGAGTCTCTGCAGTGCTCTGCGGGTCTGTTAGCAGCCAGCACAAGTCTAGGGCATGGCCCTGGGCCTGGCCTAGCTAGGTAAGGCCTTGGGGGCTGTGCTTCCTGGCCCTCAGCTCCTGCTGGTCTGTGGGACTTTGTGGAGAGCTGGTAGGGAACACGCTGCTCCTCTGAAGTTCCAGCAGAGTTCTGCCTCAACTCTGCGGCCCTTTGCTATTCGGAGGCACAAAGGAGATGGCTCCTTTTTGCCTAGAGAGCAGCTGAGTAACGAAAATTCTACAGTCCTGGTGGTGTTAATTATCACCGTGCAGTTACTCCTTTTCCTTTCACGGAACAAGGTTGCTGCAATAGCATTTTTCTTTGCAGACAGAATTGGAAATACAGAAATAAATTATGGAGAACCAGGGTGTCTCCTGTCAGAATAAATATTTAATGAGAACAAGGGTTGTGCTCATTCAGAGTCACACAGACTGATACTGAAGTACTATCTGTATGTTAATTTTAATGTATAAAATATATGCTTGTACTTAAAAATGCAGAGTGAACAGCCTCAGGGGCAACTGTGTATTAAGTCTGTGACAGCTGTCTCTGGGTGATGGTAATGCAAAAGTTTCTTTTTTTTCCAAGCCAATTTAATTTACCCACCAATCAGTCAGAACACAGAGGAGTCTTAAAGTAGTTACTCTCCAAATCAGTTCTTGGAGGCGTGTGTGTTCTTTCACGTTGTATCTTGACTGTTCACTCTAAGCAGCCTCTAAAGCACATCAGCTTTTTTTAACTCTTCCTAGCTCAGATTTAAAAAATATCTGAATAGCGGTATGCCGGTTTTGTTTGTGTTGGAACAGCATACAGAATTTGTACGAACCGTGTCTGTTAGCGTGCTGGTTAACACGAATGAACTAGCGACTGTTACAAGTTACGTGCAAGTTCTCTTCAGGTTAGAACAGGAACTAGAGGCACGATCTCGGGGTTGCAGCTTATCTTTCCAAGGCCTTGGGATGCTGAGGTGGGCCTGGTGTTTGTAAGGAGTTCTGGAACAGTTACTTGTTCCTTTAGGCAACATGAGAGACTAAATCCCAGCCCTGTTTTCCTTACCGCTCACAACCCCTGGATAATTGGTCTATCTGTTCAGTATTCAGGATGTCTTGACATCTGACCTGTCGGTCCCTTCCCTGCCGGCTCGCTTTGTTCTCTCCTCACTCTCTCCCTCCATCTCGCCCAAAGCCTGTGCCTTTCTCTTCATAATCCTCTGTCACATATCTCTGAAGCTTTATTTGTCTGGTTTGAGGGTTTTCAACCTGCATGAAGGTAAAATAATTTGAAACGGTTGCCCTGTTCAAACTTCTGTTTGGATTCCCTATTAATTTTTCCACAGTCATTAAGGCTGCAATATCTAATGGTTGCTTTGTAAATGTCCTCAGGCTGGAGAGAGACACGTACTTGGGGCCTCTAAAGCTCATGACTAACTCCCTCTGCATTGATGCATTCAGTGGTTTATCCAGTCCATAACGTGGAGGTATAAATAGACTCTGAAATGATTGCATAACAGTAGAATTGCCTGCAATTTAGAATAGAGGATGCTGGCAGGCTCCCAGTATGGCCACTAATGCATTTTGTGAACTTGGGTGATGTCTGTCCACCTCATTTTTTTTCATTTCTAAAATGTAGTAATAAAAATAGTACTGTTTTGCCTAGCTAACATTCACAGGGGAAGAGCTTTCTATAAACGCATCCTGACTCACAGGTAAAATGATTGGGAGATAGAAACGTATTTAAATTATTACTGAAGAAAAAACTCTGGTCTTTTATGTGAAAGGAGATCATTGTGTTTAAAATAAAACTAAGGGAGCAGACATGCTATGTTAAAACAGTAGTTCCAGACTTGTTTCGCAGCAGACTGTTAAGGACAAAAGTTACCATTATTTCTGTGTCTAGGTCTCCCTTCATATGCCTCTGTTTAGATAAGAACTGTAATACAATCTGTTCTCTTTCGTTGTTTGGTTTGTGCAGGCACAGGCTTGCTGCAGGAAGTGGTATATCTAGTGAGTCAGGGAGCTGATCCAGATGAGATTGGACTAATGAATATAGATGAACAACTTCCAGTCCTAGAGTACCCTCAGCCTGGTCTGGACATCATCAAGGTACAATTTATTGCAAAGAAAGTCTTTCAACATCTGGGTATCTTTTTCCTCGGTTCCATATCTATAACTTCATATCACCCTGTGTCCTTGCCCTTTTCATCACTGGACTCGCTCAGTTTGTTGGAATGATTCAGAGTGTTATTAGGTTATTTTAAAATTGCTTTTATTAAGCTTTATTATACTATATTTAATGCTTTAGATGTTTCTCCATGTCCTTAATACCTTGGCAGTGGGTTTTCTGAATAAAAGTTCCAAGTCTCCCTTGCTTATGTAAACAGAAGCTGCCCAAATAAGAACAATTTGCTTTGATTCCTTCCCTGAATTTGTGAGAGAGGAACTACAGATACAGAGATCTATGGATCTGTAGACCCACTCTTCTGAATTTACACATCTAAATCCTTAGAGAACAGGGTCTGTGGGTCTGCAGACTCCGTAGGTGTAGTGTGAGGAGTTTGGAATATTCTGTGTGAAGTGACTTCCACACTGTTAAGAATGCCTCAGACTGGTGGCGTGGCATATAACGGTGATCTTGTCCTTGCTGTAACTTACTGATACAGGCATGTCTTGGAATGATGAGGCAGAATCCTGGGCTCCATCCTCCGACAGCTGCAGTGCTCACTGAACCGAGCTAGCTGAGGCCGGCATGGATAAAATTAAGCTGCTTCTGGTCAGTGACAGCACAGCATCAGCCTGCTTTAGGCTGAGAATATTTAGGGGTCAGAGGTTGCTTTTCTTTTTCATCTGTGTGCTGCCTAGTCCAGTGAGACCTCAGTGCTGCCTTGACGCACGTGAGTGGTGGCAACAGCCAGAGGTTTGATTGGGGATTGCACCCCGTTACCTACACTGGGTGTCAGCAACTTGATCCAGTATGGATTTACGCAGTTTTTAACTACTGGAAGATGATTGGTGTCATAAGACAATTCTTACCTCAACTGATAGAAATATACGCTGTTTGAAAGATGTTCACACGCTCAGATAAACCTTTCGATTGTCTGGGCCTAATTCTGAGGATAAAATAAATCACAAGAGTAAAATTTTCAAGAAGTTGGGGGTAGGGTTTTCAGAGCTTCTGATATTTTTCAAGGAATTTTAGTGGAAGCCTCCCCGGAAACAAGGTTAGTTTGATATTAAGAATCTTCAACTAGTACACTCTCTTCCCGAGAAGGTCCTACAAACAAAAGTACTTTGAAAAGAAAAGGAGGAAAGAAACCTAATGAGGAACCCCAACAGATTATCCAGCCTTCTGACATTTAAGAAAGAGATGTAACTCTTTGACCTAATTTCTAGCCCAAGACTCCTGTTAGTTTAAGTAGTGAATTTGTAAATGTGACTCAGTACAGTAAAGGGCTTCAAGTATGACAGCTCAGGATGTGCCAAAAGCTAATGCACAATAACAGGTGTTTCTGTCTGCTTTATTGTAGGAACTGACATCTCCTCGCCTCATAAAAAGCCACCTGCCATATCGGTTCTTGCCTTCTGACCTCCATAATGGCAATTCAAAGGTAAAAGTGAAATGAAATCATGTTTGTTTTAACTGTGTACTGGCAGAAGTTGTTTAAGTGCTTTGGGGAGTGGGGTGGGGAGAAAGCTTTCAGTAGGATGATCTGTTTTTTCCTCCCCTCATCCCAGGTAATATACATGGCTCGCAACCCCAAAGACCTGGTGGTGTCTTATTACCAGTTTCACCGCTCCCTAAGGACCATGAGCTACAGAGGGACCTTTCAGGAGTTCTGCAGAAGGTTTATGAATGACAAGTGTAAGGAGTTGTTCTCTCTGCACACGCTGTTACACATTTATTTTCATCTCTGCATTCTTCCTGCAAGTACAGAAATGAACTGGATAAAGGTGCATTTGTTTTGCATATACAGCAAGGAGGTTGCTACAGATAGTGCTGCGTGGCTGCAGGTTTGTCCAAGCCACGGCCATGCCTTGTAAAGAACTGCCTTGCAGCACCTGACCCCAGGGGCTCAGCAGCGTTCCACTTAGCTCAGGCAAAACTCTTCTAAAATTCAGTTTGCAAGGTACCAGGTACCTTGTGAGAGGTGGTGAATGCTCCCAGCATCATTTCAATTGTACCTCACTGTTAGCCACTTTCCAGGAGTCTTACTGTTCATCAAGGTTATATTTTCCCTTGGTAATTACTTCAATATTTTAGCAAGATTTAGCTGTCAAATATTTGCTGATCCAAGGAGTTCAGTTTGACAATTAGGACACCAGCCTTGAAAATAACTTTTTTTTTTTTGTCTGAAACACTGATCCTTCTAACTTCTGCTGCATCTGGGATTGCTCCCCACTTCAGCAAGTCACATCCTGGGGACCTGAATCAAGCGATCAAATACAGGGAACAGCCACTAACTCTGGGGAAAAAAACCCCAAACCAGTTTAAATGACTCAGCAATACACAGGCAATTGGGCCAGGGGGAGGAATTGGATGTAGCAACACTCAGACACTTGACCCCCGGACAGCCTGTGCTCAATCACAGCCCAGGAGGAAGGTTCACCAACCCCAAATCACTCCAAGTAAATGCCTCAGACTGTGAGCTCTTGAGGCAGGGATCCTGTAGAAAAATGTGACGGTGAATTCAAGACCACGTACTTTTAATTTCATCCAAAAACTCAAGGCTTGTCCTTTGCGAGATACCAGTTAAGACACACAAATCTGGTTTAGTGAGACTGATCCAGAGTGCGTCAGTAAGTTGAAGCACACCCCTGTGGGAAGGCAGTTGCAGGCTGCTGCTGTCTGAAACTGCTTTAGCTCAGCTGCTCACCCCGTAACTCCTGGCAGTGGGGGCTGTTTCCTGACCCCCCGCCCGCTGTGTTCCCACTCGGGCTGCGCTGCCTTAGGTAACTCCTTTGTGCTAGCTCAGTAAACTTAGAGGGGAGACAAGCCCTGTCTTCTCACTGACTGGCTGCCACTGGGCTTTTTGCCAATGGGTTACCACACTTTCTAGCTAAGAAGGAAAAAATTTTTTTTTACTGCCTGCTATTTCTTTACAAAAATCTTCTCTATGATACCTTAATGTAATGTTAAGAATTCTCCAGGGACCTTGTGCTCTGATAGCGGGACCCCTCTAGATCCAGTGCAGCAAACTCCTTCAACCTGGAATTTGGAGGAGTTGATGCTAAATGAGCTAAAAATAAAGGGAAGGAAAAGTAAAAGCCTACTAGTGGAGGTTACTTAACAGGCCTTAGAAACCTTTGCTGCTTTCTCTTGCCATCCTGTGCAGGGAGCATAAATGCTCTCCTTCCATTCCAGCTCACCTTTAGCTTTTTCATTCCCTGAGAAGGGGATGTTTATCTGCAGCTCGTGATCGGGAACTTCTAGACTGGACACAAATGAAAAACACCTTAGAAGGTCTCCTAAGATAGGAGGAAGGTTCTATACTCTTTTTTTTTTATTTTATATAAGTATCCCAGGAGTTAATTATCTTTGACTTGTAGCAGGTAGCTGATTTATCACGACCTCCCGGAGTCAGTAAAACATCACAGCATGTTCTGTGTCCATAATTGTGCCACTGGAGTGTTTTGTAGTACAGTCAATTTAGCATTTAGCTAAATGCTTACATCTCATGGAAGCAACAGAGCAGCCAAAAACCTTAAGAAGTGAAAGTGCTGCTAGAGGGAGCAGCACTGAGCCCAAACAACACAATCCCACTCTTTTTCCCCCTCCTTACACCTGACTATCTTGAAACAAATTCAGTGCATGTTAGCTGCATTGTTTGAAGCTTGGATTATGCAAAGTACTCTGCAGAATTTGCCATGAGTGCTGTAGCTAGCGTCTAGGTGAAGGAAGCTGCAGTGTGGTACATTAGCTGAAGGAATTCACACAGCTTGCAGCCACCTACAAAGCTATCTGTGGTTTTTAATTTGGGCCAATTTCTGTTCAGTCGTGTTAATACTGAGCTCCAAGAGGTCCATCATGAAATATGGTGGCATCTGCAGTTGAACATTTTATCTTTATGGTAAGTTAGTGCTTTGGAGTATTCCAAACTGGTAGAAAAAACTTTTTTAATTAAGTTCCTTGCTGTGCATGGCAGTGGGTCAAAACCAGTCACTCTTCTCCTGGGGCTGTGAACCTCTCTAGTTAATTTTTTTCTCCTTTTTTTACTTTTTGAAAAGGCATTAATAAGAAAAATGTTCATTTTCCTCATGCCAATCAATCATAATGTCTTTGCAGTAGGATATGGTTCGTGGTTTGAGCATGTGCAGGAATTTTGGGAACATCACATGGATGCCAACGTACTTTTTCTTAAGTATGAAGATATGCACAAGGTAGGTTAGATGTACCAAAAAGGTATTTTAATTACACGTAGCACTTAGTGTTTAAAATACGTAAAGTACAAAATTGGCTTCTTATGTCCATATTGGGGCTTCCTAATGTCTGACACCGCTTTTAAAGCACTGGCATTCAGTAGCTTCTGTGGACTTTCAGCAGTTTCATAAACCTGGTAATTTACTCAGGAATCTGCCTGCGTCCAGAGGTGCTAAACTGCCCGCAGGGAAGGCAGAGCTGTGGGACTGTTCTCTGGTTGCTACACTCGGCCTTGGACATTCTTTAACAGAAACCTCTCGCTGTGTGTGCAGTATCAGTGAGGAAAAAAGTATATCATCAGTATTTTGTCCTATATATTTGTCGTTGCTTCTGATTATTTGCTTGTTCTTACTGTCTTCTGTGAAACAGTGTTGAGAACAATTAGGGATGGCCATGTAGCATAAGGTGAACATAATTATTGGGTCCTTACAGTATGCTGGCTGATGAATCCACTTTAGTTTTAATCAGAAATTTAGTGGAAATACTACATCGAACATTGGCCTCCATTTGCTATTGCAATAATACATTTTTGAGAATTAATGAAAACTCTTCAAAATGTTTATTTGACTGGAAGATTAATGTAAACACAGGAAAAACCCAGCTCCTATCTCTAAAGCTACAAAATGGCAGAATCGGGGTAGAACTCAGTAAAGCTGATAAATGATCATTTCGGCTTTACTGAGCCTTCTGATGGAGTCGGATGCTAAAAGATGTAATACGATTAGATAATTTTAAAAGTTTAGCAGAAATGGCTTCAAACCCATGGCTTTGAATAATGATTTATTCCTAATAATGATGTCTTCCTAACTCTGCTCACGGGCGGGTGCTGGTGGCATCGCCGTATCTTTCTGCTGCCCAGTAAACATTGCCATTCTGTCCCTGCATTGCCAGCAGTCCTGCTCGTGCTCAGGGACCCTGGAGTTCTGGATGTATAAACTAACAGCTCCTTATCCTCAGAGGCTGCCTCAGTCCATCCTTTCCATCTACGTGAATGCAGTCCCAGCAGCTAACCACAAGGAGGGGCTGTTCTAATGTTTGTAGCCATTTATTTTACCAAAACCAAAATAAAAGTAACTTTGACTTCCTCCACAATAGGCTGCTATTCCGAAGTGATCAGTTGAGGGTGTGGTGTTGTCTGAAGTGGGAAGCATCACCATTACTTTGCACTTCCCCATTCTAATGTTTGAAGGTGTGATCTTACACAACTGTATTCTCTGCCAGCCTGTCTTACCTTAGTTAGTTGGAACGTGTTTATTTGCAGCAAATTAGAAGGTGGCAAAATATTAAGACGAAGTGTTTCTACATCTTCTGCATTTGTATTTTTCATGCACATCAGGATATAACTTATTTTGAAATACTTGAACTCATTTTTTAAAAAGGCTTTTGAAATATTGTAAAATAAACTATTTTTTCGTCCTCTCTTACAGGACCTAGCAACAATGGTTGAGCAACTGGTGAGGTTCTTAGGAGTTTCTTACGACAAAGCACAGTTGGAATCCATGGTGGAACACTGCCATCAGCTCATCGATCAGTGCTGTAACGCGGAAGCACTTCCCGTGGGCAGGGGTATGTTTAAAACCCGCAGTAAAACTCGTACAGGGGAGATTGCAAGAAGGGACTGACCACTTAGTGACCTCCAGGATGTGTTGAGGTGTTGGCAGAATGCTGCTGTGTACGTGATGGGAGGTAACCGATTGTTGGTGCAGTTCGGGGGTTGGTTTGTTTGGAAATAAAGTTATGTAGAAGTGACTGGAAAAGAAGGCAACCTCCAGGGTGAGCAGGGTGTTCTCAGCACCGTGCAAACCACCGCGTTGGTCTTTGGCTTTCTTGAACAGACAGAGCTATTCAGGCTGAGAAGCTGCACTGCTCCTTCTGACCTTTGGCATGTCAAAGCCCACACACTTCCATATAGTTTATCCTGGCCTAAGCCCTTGTGTTTAAGTAGATCAGATTTTCTAGAGTAGCAGAGAATTCTGATATGAAGGTGTGAAATGACAAGGAGCTGTAGTTTTAATATGAGCTTTTTCTTTTCATTGTCTACCTCAGCTGTTTAAAATATGTTTAGCTGCTTGATGTTTACTCTGGTGAGGTCTTTCTCTAGGAACTTGAAGTGCCCTTTAAACAGCTGACACATCTGTCCTTTGGTAAAGTCAAGAAATGAAGTCCTTTCTCAGTCTTCCTTCTGATAAGCATAAAAGAGTGACCCCAGTAAGTCTCCCTCAAATTATCTTCTGTCGGCTGCTTCACAGCACTTGGCAACTCTTTCTAAAAACAAGGGCATAATGTGGAGGATTTCTGTCAGCCTCACGAGTGCCTTGCCCAGACCATAAAATCACTTTATCCACTGATTTAATCCAGTTTCAACTGGCACTTTCTCTCCCTGTCTCCCTTGTTTGTCCATCCGTGGCCACACGAGCGCTCTTTGCCGCAGCATCGTACCCAAAGCGTGTGGCATTTATCGTGACCACAGAGTCTTTTTCAGAGGAACTAATTTGCAGGTTCTTGTCCCTTACTCAGGGAGCACCACCCAGATACTTTGTTCTTAAGCTTCAGACCTTCCCATACTACCCCTCTCTGCCAACCTTCTTGTTATCCGCAGATTTTATCAGCTGTAATTTTTATAATTATTTTCAAATCTCCGATAAAAATACACAGTATCATCATTCTTCCTTGACTAGTAATTTTGCGTTGGCCATTTGTTTACTGTATCATGCCTTTTGTTGACATTCTGTAGTTCTGTTAAAAAGCACTAAAATCACATGCCTCACAGAAGTCTCTTGTATAACTTCTTTGCACTCAGCTTTAATCAGTCGACTGTAACCTTACCGACACTGGCTCCGGTCCGTGCGGAGTCCCCCGGTCCCCTGGAAGCAGATTTGCTGATGTTTTGTTCTGCCTTTGTGGCTTTCTCGGCAGAGCCTTAAGCCAGTTTTCCCTTACTCAGCCCAGACTATCACCAGAGTAACTGACCCAGGATAACTTGTCCTCTGTACGTTGGCACAGAGTTTCAGAATGTCATACTTGGAAAAAAGCCGTTGCTCACACCTCCTTGCTTCTACCTGTGACTTTGCACAGGTGGTGTGGAAAGGCTCTTGGTGTGTTCTGGGGGGGCTGTGCGCTCTGGTTACTACAGCAGGACATGGAAACCAGATTCCTGTAGGAGTTCCCAGCTGAAATGGTGACCCGATACATTCCCTATAGATTCTGGCAGAGTCTCCACCGAACAGTGTGTTTTTCTGTTCCTAGTTATCTTGCTTTCAACTCCAATCCTACCCTCCCCTTACTCCTTCAAACTGAAAATTCTGCGTGTAATACAACTTATATCTTGCATGAAAACAACCCTCTCTTTGGCAGTAGGATTTTGCAGCACGTTGCCTAACTGATTACTGACCCACTTGTCTGCTGGGAAGACAAGACCCCGAATTAACGAGTCTGGTCAGACATCCTGAGGACCTTGGGGAGAACGTTGTATGTTGGTGCAGGATTTTACAAACAACAGAGCCACGTTCTCCTCCGTTGACTTGCATTAACACCAAGGCCTGGCTCTGCTCCCGACCCCTGTGATCTGGGGAGCCATGGCGCAGCAGCGCTGCTGCGTGCTCTGCACAGCCCAGATCCCCCCTCCTCGTCCTCTGAAAGCCAGAAAGGTGTTTGTGGGAGAAGGGTGAGGTGGTGATATGAGAGAGAGGAGCGGGGAGGTGCTGGTGAGACCATCGGTGGGCAGGTGGGGCAGCTGCAGCCCGGGCGGGGGCACAGCCCCTTGTTTACACCATCCACAAATCTTCCAAAAGGAGCCTCCGTTTTGTAATAGAGCAGGAAGGGAGCTGCAGCAGTTAATGTAATATTTTGTCATTTGTTCACTGTGTGCTTTTTATTAAAAGATATCCTTGTTTTGTATTTCTTTTATTTGCTGTCTCTGGCTGTTACAGTATTTTGTTACTTCAGAACGCAGCTTCATTAACAGTGCTTTGTTCCTTCTCGTTCGTTCCTGTGACAAAGAACGGTGGCAGTAACATGACAGCTTATTGTAATTTGTCTCAAATATTTTTAATTTGTCATTAGTTACATTTACTTTATTATTTTGCTTTATTTTAGTTCTTCATTTTTTTTTCTTTTAGCACATTGATCTTTACTCTGAAGATAAGCCTGAGCTGCTGTGAAAGCAGAGCAATGATTAGATATGTTACTTATATTTGACTCTTATCACATCATAATTTACACAGTTGCATGATTCAAATCATAAACCAGGTGGGTGACTTTTTGACAAGCTATCAATCCATACAGTAAAAAAAAAAAATGTTACAAATAATCCACTGTGTATGTCCTTTATAGAACTTGTCATTTGTCCATACATGTTGTTAGGGGGATTTAGAAATAAAAGGCTTATCTTTTTTTCCCAGAGAAAGAAAATGTTTCATTGTTGTTATTGAAAGGGAAATACAGGCTTTTATGCTTCATGCTGTACTTTATGCAATTATAGTTGCCAGAGCAAAATTGAAATCAGGATCAGATGTGTACGATTGCAAGTGTTTTCTTAATGTTTTATTTGATACAGGAGGAATTTGGTGAAAACAAGAAATGGTGCGTTTTCAGTCAGGTTTCAGGTTCTCTCGATCTCTGGATCCCAAAACCAAACCAGAACACTGTCATGCTGTCAGGAGTTACAGGAAAATCCTGATTTCATAAAATGGCCCTGGCCACACATACTGCAGCATCATGTTAATATGTAATTTGTAGATGTTCCAGACAGTTTTGTCTTTGGACTCAATTACAGAGTTGCTGCATAAAAGCAATGGTAATTAAATTAAATGGGTATTCTTCTTATGCATCAAATGCATAATTAAGCTCCCTGCATGTAGTTGTGTTCTTGCTGTTATGATTAAACTCTCTGGTAGCACTGTCCCAATTCTCCTTTCATTTATTCTGGTTGAACAAGCCTAGATTTTGTCTTTATTTATATCCAGCATAAATGAGAAGAGAATTGGGGCTCATTCACTGACGAGTAACACTGGCTGACTTGGGGTTAGATCAGTTCTGGACCGCATTGAAACAGCAGTCAGGGGGGCTGCAGCCTTTGCTGGGTGGGTGCAGCAGTGTCCTCGGCTCGGTTACTGGCTGTTGGGCTCAGTGTCCCTGCTGCATCCCCCAAAAGCTTCCTGTTCCTTATGTTCACCATTAAAGTTCCCACGGCACGCACTGGGTGCATGGTACTTGTTCTCTCCTAAAGAGGTCATCTAGGCACTTGTGTTTAACAAATAATTCTCTCCATAGTGAGAAACGTCAGTTCATCAGTTGAACTGATCTTTGAACATAAAATAAGGGAAATTAGTAATGGTATTACATCTCAATAATCAGTTTAATACTCTGCATTCCACTTACCTTTTAGACAGTTCTCTGAGCAGTGTATGCTGAAGGCGCAATTTCAAAACTAATTTCCGAATGTCTTGTTAGCTGTTGGAATTACCAAACAGCCATAGTTGGCACTGAAACCAGAAATCCACTTCTCAGGGAACACCCACCCCAAAGTCTGTTCATTTCTGACCAAGGCTGGAGCAAAACCTCCCAAAAATGGGGATTGCTCCTGTGTAAGCCTTGGCTGGCGCAGATGACAAGGTGCATGGTACCTGTTGAAGGCTTGGCAAGGGTTGTGGCAGGGGAGCCGGGTCCAGGCAGAGCCTTGGGTCCCGTTGAGCTGTCAGGGCAGGGCAGGACTTCGGTGTCTCACAGGGGAGAGCTGGTGCCCCGCGGAATTAGACTGTAGGTGTTTGGTGTCCTGTCGTGTCTGCTCTCTGACCTCTGTTCCTCCTCTGTGTTTCAGGACGAGTTGGGCTATGGAAAGACATCTTCACTGTTTCAATGAATGAGAAATTTGATTTAGTTTATAAACAGAAGATGGGAAAATGTGACCTCACGTTTGATTTTTATTTATAAGAAATGCATGCATATGATATCCAAATATAGCTAGAAGTGCTTTATGCATTCATTTATTACCTGCTGGACAAACTACCGTAGCTATTATGTGTAACAAGATTTAAAGAAAGAAAAACAATCTAAGTAAACCATATCAGATACAATTATCTTTGGTCCTAAACAGCTGTTTATCTTCTAGTATTTTAATCCTTTGTCCACATGCAAGAACTTCCTCGGCAGTACTAGAATATTCAGCTGTTACGGAATGTATTATATACGTATAAGGTATGTATCATATATGCAACTAGAATGTACACCTTTTCAGCCCCACATCGATTATTTAATGTGTTTTATAAAAGCTTTTCACTAGAACCTAAGTAAATGTCCGTAAACCAAATAAAAAATTATTTCAGAGGGGAAGAAGTAACAGGCCAAAACTGTATGCTAGAATGATCTCAGGGGTTAATCGTCACATTTATTTTTATAGCAGGTGTATCAAGTATAAATAGATCCCATTCCAAAATAGTAACGGATCGAAGTGGGGTTCACATTCGGCTCTGTGCGCCCTCATCTGTGACACCTGGCAGTCCTGCGCTGGTACCCCAGGGCTGTGCGGTGGAGCTGGGCTTGGCCCCAGTGCCCAGCCTGCCCCGGCCCCCTGCCAGAGGCCACCGAGGAGAGGCTGCTCAAGCCCCAGGCCCTAATCCGGCCCCTCCAGGTGGGGTTTAAAAGCCCGGCAGCTGGTGCAGGTCCCGAGGGCATCACCGTGGATCATGTCCGTTGGGCAGGAGGGAGGGTGCGGTGCTGGGTGTCCTCGGCCCTGCTCTGGGGTTGGGCACGCGTGGCCCTGCTCAGGGTCTGGGCTGCCCCCGGGTGGGGACAGACAGAGCACCGCAGCTGGAGGAGGGAGAGACTTGAGCAGTGTGCCGGCAGGTGGGGGTATTGCACAGCTCTTGGTGCGGAGTACGGCTGCAGGAATCCTTAGCCATGACCGGGCTGCATTATAATCAGCATTCCCGTTTATTTCTGTATCTTTTTGTTTGTTTGTTTCTCTACGACAGGTAGGCAAACAGCCTGAAGCAGGCTGCCATCACTAAAACTGTCCAGAATGGTTTTACTGTTCCGTTAGGTAATGACACCTAGGCGTTTTAGGTTCTCGGCTGCAGGAGGCCCATTTTTGCTAGTCACAGGCTCAGGCTCACCAAAAGCTCTGAGGAAGGACTAGCAGATTTTTAGTGTTTCAGTTCTGTTGGGAAACTTAACTGTCAGTTCAGCAACTGGCAAGTGGTGTGGCATGATGTGGCTTGACAGCACTTTTCCTTGTATATTTGTGAGTGAAAATGCTTTCAGTGAAATTTTATTTCTATTTTTATATTTTTAGTACTGTATGAATATTAAGCACTACACATTCTACTTCTGTGCTTGCTTGCTTATTGAATAAAAGATGTGTTCCATGCATTGTGGTTTGCTCATTTTCTAGACCTCCTTCTCAGACCAGGTCGTCGTTGTCCAAGCCTCAGCTCCCCTCCCCTCCCCACAGCCTCCCAACTTAAGGCAGAAAACCTGCAGAAAGGTGACATCAAGGGAAAAGACCATCTGACCCCATGAGCTGTCTCCGGCAGTGGCCCCCAAAATGTGCCGGGGTACAATGGAGAGCACAGGCCTCTGTCAGCATCTTTGTGTTCAGCAGCTCTCCGTGGGGTCCCTTCCCCTCGCGCTGGCACCGAGAGCATCCCGTGGCAGTGAGTTCTTCACCCAGACACTGTAAGAAAAGGTTCCTCTGTTTAGAGACGGCCACCAGATCGTGCAGCCTGCTGCTCCTTTCTTCTGTGAGGGCAGATAATACATAGTCACTGCTCAGGTGAGGTTTTACACACTTTTATCTTGCACCTCTCAGGCAGCTCTGTGCTGAGGAGTCCTACTGGTCTGTCATACAGGGGACCAAACCCCACAGGCTGCAAGCAGCTGCTGGGAGTAGGAGAATTCCTTCTTGCTACAGAGAACGACAAAACCTCCCCACAGTTCCTGCAGATTAGAGTCAGAAGAAAATTTCCTTAGCACTGAGAATCTACTTAAACCACTTAATGCCAAGGACGTAGGAGCAGTCTGTCCTTGTGGGTTGCCTAAAGGCTCCTCGTATTCCTGAAACCACTACAGAGCCCTACTCCTGTTCCAGGCACGGCCTGTCCTTTGCTACAGCACATCATCACCCCCCAAAGCCACATCTAAGGCCATGCTGTAAGAGGTGGGCATGTACACGTGCCATGACCAAACCGCCGGTGCAGGGGGCCACCAGCTGCTGGGCTGGAGAGGGAATGGCTGGTTTGGCCAAAAAGCCATTTCTAGGGAGTAACAGCCTCTGTGACAATCTGTTGTGCACCTGCTGCTACGTGGTGCTCCTTGGTTTAGACACCAAAGCTGCTGTGTGCTAGGAACCTGCTCTTGAGGAGCAGAAATCTCTCCTTGGCCAGAGCTCTCCTGCCCCACCCCTTGCCCGTTGCCTTCTGTGCTATCAGGTGGAACTTATCCAAGAGCCCAAAGCCTGGTCAGAGCCCATTCCCACATAAACTGGGCTGAGATTCTGCCCCCAGATCTCTGATGCTTGCATGGTTTTGTGTACAAAAGGTTTGAAGCGTTCATCGGGGTGAAGTTGAGCAGTAAAGAGGAAAGACAAGAAAGCTAATGAGTAACCACTAAAGATTCTCAGCGCTTCTGTATAGGCATCACAACACAACGTGGCACCAATAGTTCTGGCAATAATTATCAAGATTTATAGGCTTGAGTCACCATTATTATAAGCCATTCTGTCTTGCCTGGGCTATAAATAACACCACTTAGCAGTTACCAGCAAAGGTTTAGAGGGAGAATTAAGAAACAGCATTTGCCTCTTCAGTCAAAAGAAAAAAGCTAAGCAGAGGTTCAGCTGAATCAAATAATATTCACCAAAAAAACCCACAAACCTAGTGACCACACCCACAGGGAAGACCGAGTACAGAAACCACCGTACGTAACCTCACTGCGTAACCCGTCTGATGCCTCCACCGCAGGATCCGCAGACTGGGGTCCTCTAGTGTCTGAGTGACAAACCCTATGGAGATGGGTATTTTCTGGTACCTGTCACGGGGTGTATCACACGAACCACACGCAGGCGCACGTAACCTCCAGTGTCCCTCCGACAGCCCCCGGGCTGTGTGGTCTTGAAAAATGAACGCGAGAAAAGTGCAAAAATGCAGGGCAATTCTCTGGGCTTTAGGAGCCCAACCGGTGGGAATCGCTGTCCGTAGCGTAGGACTCTCACCCCATCCCTCGGGTCTGGAAACGGTGAAGCTCTTCCTGCCAGCCGAGTAGAGCCAGGCCAGGAGAAGCCTCTGCACGCCCTGCTAGCGCGGGCGCCTGCGTGAGGTTCTCTTTGTAAGCTCTGCTGTGCCCGTATCATTTTTCTGGATTTCGCCACTTTGTCAGATTGTTAAACCTCGCACCAAGTCCTGCTGGAGCTCTCGCTGCGCGCAGACAAGCGCTGGCAAGGCGCACCAGAGCAGTTTTAGAAGGTGCCACCGCCAGCTGCCCGCTCTGCCCCGCTGCCAGGAGCAGAGGCAGCAGGAGCCAACGTGTGCCGGCCCCTCAGCTGCTGCTGCGCTTTACAGGCCCACACGTGGGCTTAAACTGCTGCGGGGGGGCTTTCGGGTACCAGGCGGGTTTGTGGGCGGCAGCGGCGAGGAGCTGAAGCCTCTTGGGCTCTGCCCGGGCCTGGAGGTGATGTCCCAAGTCTGGTCAGGGCTCTGCTGGGGCTGCGCTGGGAGAGAGGGTCTGTCACGGGGGAACCGCGTCCTTCGCAGGCGGGAGGGGGATCCACACTGCCATGTGCAGTGGATTAACTAAACCCGACTTCTGGAAGGAAGGGTGCTTTGCAGGAGGGCGGCGCTGCAGCGGGACGTGTGTGACAGCACGCCGGGTGCGGGGGGACAGGTGACGCTCCGTGTTCAGACTGACGCCACTCACAGCCACTAATACTCCAGCTTGCTTGATGTGATACTCAGCGTAACTGCCACCCCGGCGCTAAACCCACTGCCACCGCCTCTGTCACCCACTCAGCTTTGCCAGCGCCGAACATAAGACAATTTAATCCTCGCGCGCAGGTCAGAGAGCGCAGCCGGTGTCGCCGCGTGCGCAGGCTCCAGCCCTGGCAGCCCTTGCATCTGCCTTCTCAGGGCTGTGGAAGGGAGTCCCCCATAAAACACGCGAGAGCTCGAGGAGCACAGCACAGCTGAACCAGAGAGCAAAACAAGAACCAAGGGAAAGGCTGAGATTTCATGTCCATGGGTGGACGTGTTGGGTTTGCCCATACATCACATAATCAAAACACAGCACAACCACAGCAAAGCCCATGGGAGGGCACAGAATAAGGGTGTTACCCCCCACCCCACAACTCTTCCTGCGATGCCCCGGCTCCGAGACGTGCAGCATCTCTGCCAGTGTTTGGTAGCCCCGGGGAACGCTCTGGTGTTTCAGTGGCTGGTGTAACAGCGGCTTCCCAGGGTGTCCTGCTTCACCCATCATTTGGATTCCGGGGTGACTTGCCCTCTGTATTGGGTGTACGTGTCAGGGTGTTGGTAGCGGGGGGCTGCAGGGGCTGCCCCAGGTCCAGCAGCTTCCAGCGGGCCCACGGCTGGACACAGGTGGGCCCGTCAGCTGGGGGGCATCTGTGCAAGCCTATTTAAGAAAGGGTAAAGAAAAAATTAAAATGCAGCACAGCTGTGTTGAGAGAGAGGTGTGAGGGGAAAGAAAAAACTGTGAGAAACTGGCCTGCAGATACTGAAGTAGGAGGAGGAGGAGGAGGAGGAGGAGGAGGTGCTCCAGGCACCAGAGCAGAGATTCCCCTGCAGCCCCCGGAGGAGCCCAGCGTGAAGCGGGGGTTTCCTTCCCTGCGGCCCATGGAGAGGATCCCGCTGGAGCAGGGGAGTGTGGGGAGGAAGGAGCGGCCGAGAGGAGCTGTTCCAGCCCGACTGCAACCCCGACTGCGAGGCGGCGAGGGCGTGGAGGAGGTGGGAATGAAGGGCTGAAGCTGAGCCTGGGGAGAAGGGGAGGGTGGCAGGAAGGTGTTTTGGTTCTTTTGTCTTTTTTTCTTACCATCCTATTCTATTTTTAATTGACCATAAATTAAATCCATTTCCCCCGGATCGGGTCTGTCTTGCCTGCGGTGGTAACTGGTGAGTGGTGTTTCCTGTCTTCATCCCAAGCCATGAGCTCTGCCGTCTCTGTTGAGGCGTGAGAGGGGCTGCGTGGGCCTCTGACAGCCAGCCTGGGTCAACCCACCCCGGCCTGGAAGCCCCTGGTAGCCCATCCAGCTCACGCAGGAGCTCATACTCCGCCGTGGCTCTGCTGCCAGTTGTTTGCTGTGACCCCATCACGAGAACAACAAATTGTGCTAGAGCCACAAACCCTTCACGCTTGATCTGCATGGGGGAATTCATAGCTCTAATTGTTCTCTGACAATTGCAGAGACTGGCACCCTTTCAAGGGGAATAAAATGAAATAAAGGACAAGGTTAGAGCGATCCTTTTACTTTAGGTTGCATAAAATCAAATGTGTTAGGCTTTAAAAAAAAAAAAAAGAGTTAAGAGCAAATGAACGTGAGACTTGCGATCTGTCTTGCCAAACGCAA